TTAACTGGAACCTTGACTAGGAGACTAGGAGAACCCGCGGTTGCTCCCCCCCACGGCGTGGAAGCAGAGGACGAGGACCAGGACGACCAGGACCAGAACCCATCAGAACCAGGAACCACCAGGACCGGGACCAGGACCCATCAGGACCAGGACCAACCAGGACCAGGACCCATCAGGACCAGGTAACATACAAGTAGTAGAGGACTTGAAACTCTTGATTTTTCGAAAACAAGAGTTTCAAGAGAACATAGCGAACCCTATATCGATGCTAGCTTAACGACATCGATAGAACTGTGCGAGGTAAAGGGAACCAACCCGGCGTTCCCAGAGACTGAAACACATGAGGAGACGTTGTAGCAGACCGCAGGTCACGCACAACACATGGCCTACCGAGACGCTGATGAGTCGGGCCACGCGGAGGTTAGGGTTTAGTGGGTATTAGGTGGTCTCCTCGAGACAACCTGGAGTCCCACACACGCCGTAGCTCGGGCTATGGTATGGTGCATAAATGCATTCTCCCCTCACAAAAAAAACACCGGGCCAGGCTGCGTGCAAGGTCTCCCACTCCACCCTCCGGTTTGCCATTGGTTCTGTGTAAGGGCTCGACCTATTCTGCCCAATAACAGTTATGCTCCCTCTCTCTTGAAATATATCAGTGTGCTGATTACGCAATGATCACTGTTTTGGTTCAGTCTCTTTCTTCGATACATAACACACATAATAGAATGGGTCGTCGAGAGGGGGCAACATCCCGCCGCCATCGGCAACATCATGTTACTGTGCTAGTTGCTTTAGTACGATACCAGAATAGACGTTTGTATGTGGATGGAAGAATCATGAGGCCAGGTCTGCTTAAGAGTTCGCAAGAGCTACTTCTATCCACCTGGAAATTACGTAACGCAACCCGAGCTGCTGTTGATGTACACGGAAAAGCGGACCTGACGTTACAGGTCGGCTCCGACAAGTTCCTTAATCTGGTATCGAAGAGCATATGATCATGGGAATGGACGCGATGAGCAGCCACGGATTCTTGGTCTTGGACCGCAGCATCCTCAAACTTGGATCCGAAGAAGCTATTCTATATAACCAGAAAGACATAGTCGTACATGCCCGTGTGATCATTGTTGGAGACACCGCGGTACCTGCGAACGTCGAGATGATCGTGAAGCCCTAAGTTGAGGGAGACGACGGCACGGAAGAGACCGTCATAGTGGAACACACGAGCAAGGGCGTACTGGTGATGAGGGTTTGGTGACTGCTAAGGACGTCGTTCCACTGCGGTTGAGGAATCTTAGTTTCCCATCCCGTTAAGCTCAAGAAAGGTAGCAGCCGCCTTTTCGGGTTGTGCGAACCACCTGCTATGTTCGAGAGGTTGATCGAGTTGGGGCTGACCTGGAAAACATGCCTTATCTACAATCATCGTGTTAGGCAAGACGTATGACGAGCACCTGATGGGAAGAGGTGTTCCGGAGGCTACGAGGTGCAAACTTGAATCCGAAGAAGTGCAGTATATTCTGGGAGAAGGTCTACTACCTGGGCCACGTGGTCAGCCGAGATTGGGTTGCAGCCGATCCGGAGAAAATAACGTGCGATCAAGGAATGGCCAATCCCTGTAGGCAAGTCGCAGTTGAGAAAATTCCTTGAGCTGTGGACGTACCACAGTCTGTTTGTTCCTGCCTTAGCAAATACTGCGAAGCTACTGACTCGCCTCACCAAGGAGGTTCATAAGATGAAAACTATCATCGCGTCTTTGAAGAACTTGATCTGTGCCTGATCTTAGTATATCCAATTCGGGAAGGGAAGTTCATCCTAGATACATACACAAGCAGCGTCGATGGTGCAATGCTGTCACAAGTCCAAGGAGGCCAGGATCGTGTCAACGGGTAGTTTCTGCAAAGCCTTATCGAAGACTGAACGAAACTACTGCGTTACTAGACGAGAGCTGTTCACGGTGGTCAAGGCAGTGGAGTACTATTACAAATATTTCTATGGGAAATTTCTGATCCGGTTGGACCATTCGGCACTCAAGTGGCTCCTGAAGTATCTTAAGGACAACTGGCGGAAGGGATCAGGAAGCTGGCCGAGTATGACTTCGAGATTGAGCATCGTGCTGGATTAAGCCATCGCAGCGCCGACGCCTTGTCCTGGAGGCCGTGTCCATCGAAGTGCTCTCACTGCAGTAGGCTGGAGGAGAGGACTGCGACCGTCTGCAAGACGACGGTAGTGCATGATTCCTAGTCGCTTGACCATATCCGTGAAGACCTGGAGCGCGACCCTGTCATCAAACGGCTGAAGCAGTGGAAGGAAAAGGACGTCGACAACCTGGTAGGAAGTCGCCCCACTGCCACCAGTCACACTGCGCCCAGTGGAACTCTTTGGGTGCTGGATGGGTCTCAGCGGAGGCTACAACTAGTGATGCCAAGGAACCAGGATCCCGGGGTTCTCCGTCAGCTACACGATGGAGCGTCAAGTGGATATATGAGCATCAAGAAGACACTTGGAAATGTTCGAGAGCGGTTTTTACTGGTTGAACGGAGCTTTGCGGCAGCCGAAAGCCAAAGTGAAGCAGTACAACGTGGGCAGCCCATTCCAGAGAATAGCCATCGACGTCTCGAGACCATTTCCATAATCAGAGAATGGGAACAACTAGGCGTAAGCAATCCCTAATCAAGAAGCTACCGCAGTTTCCGTTCTGGTTGTCAAACTCATCAGCCGATTTGGAGTCCCGCTAGGGCTGCACTCCGACCAGTGAAGGAACTTCGCGAACGAGCTTCTTCAAAAGGGTCTGCGAGTAGCTGGGCATCTACGGTGCTGCGCCCCTAATCAGATTGGCTGATGAAGAGCCGGAACATCGGAAAGCACCTGTCAAAAGTGGTGTCCAGCCACCAGTGTGACTGGTTCAGGTATCTGTCCATGTTCCTGATGGTATATCAGGCTGCAGAGAATGTGTCAACGGACCAGAGATGACAGCGACAGTGTTGTTCAGGCGTGAGCTCCGGCTACCTTGTGTCCCGCAGTTTGGAGGTGGTAGGTGGACAAATATGTATCCACCCTGCAGAGAGAGGAAGTGCGTAGTCAATCAAAATTGCGAGGACCGTTACGACGAGGTTTTTGAAAATGTTAACAATTCGGCCTATTGGAATCCAGAATGGCGCCAAACGAAAACCGAGAGTGATGGTAGATTACATACCGACTCACCCCCTTGGCTGGAACTAACAAAGCAATCATGCGCGCCACCGCCTTCGGGCAGAATGACAACTGAGCCCTCGTTGGAAGAGGTTCCTTGGAGATTACTCGGGAATCGTCAAAGCTCGTATGCGAATGCGGAAAGTACAGAAAGATTTGGTTTTTCGCTGCCTCGCGATACTCGCTGGCATACTGACACACAGACCTGAACACCTCAAGCAGTGTAGCTTGTCTATTCCATTGGCTCATCATCAGCCGCTGACCTATCAAGCAATCTGGGAAGTTCTGGAAGCCCTAACTGCAGCTCCTGACGTCTAAAAACTGGCGATGCCAATGCTGGAGTGTGAGGAGGTGGACTGGACTGGAGGAGACCCGTTCAGCACTAAGCTGGATGTGTTGTTTCCAGCATCCTGGATTGCAGCGACATCTTCCTGAGATTTAGCCACATCAAGGGAACCCATTTAGGGACGATACCGTCATAAGTAAGGGGCAGTGTAGTGCTCTTGCTGGGACCCTTGAGAGGCAGGGAGTCGCTTGGCAGAGTCGAGAGTCAAAATCGAGACTCAGTCGAGTCAGTGGACAGCGAACGCCGAATTAAGCTGCAATAATGGTCCAATCGACATGGTTATAAATTTTTTTATAAATCAGTTGCTAGTGTTATAAATTAGTGTAGCAATAATAAATTAGAACAGTAAAACCGTGTTTTCGTTACAATAATATAGAATTTTAGTGCAACAAAAATAACGAAACGTTGAGCTAATCGTTACGTTATTTTTGACAGAGACGGCAAATAGCGAATGCCAGGTCTTCTACACTTGAAATCTCAACACCATCAGCGTTTTACAACACCCTCAACAGTCCGCCAAAATATATTGATGAGTTTTTGCAGCCATTTTGTTATGTCTTTTGCTCAACCGAATTGATGATGGATGATGTCGAGCATATGGATCAATGCTCGTATGACGAAAACAAGCACATAATTAGTGATTGTCAAAATCAGATTTTTAATGCTTTTGCCATTTTGTTATAGAACTAACGTTTAGTGTTAACTGTTTGCTCTATTTTCTTTAGAATAACCATAACACAGTCAGGGCTACGAAAGCATCTTTCATAGTTACGCTATAATCTGAAAACCGACATAAGATCCGAAAAATCATCACCATTGTTTCAAAATTATTATGGATAATTTTTTTCTATATTGTACATGTATCTGATAACGTCTATATTGTACTTTGATATCGCAAAGGCAGTTCGAAAGAATTATTTACTGATCTATCTTACGATATTACATAAATATGATCTTCATGTTGGTCTAAACGACAAATATCGCAGTATGAGCTATCTATAGTCGTAATAAACAAAACAGAAGCGATAAAGCAACCTTTCATGACCCTCAGTACCTCAGTACGAAACAAGGAATAAAGTTGTGTTAAGGGTCGCGCATTAAGTGTATGTATATTTAAATAAGCTGTGATGAGCATCTAAGTAAAGTATCCGGCATAAACAGGTTATCTTTAAAATCTTACAACATAATGGTGAGAGCAATGTCTGTTTCTAAGTCTGAATTTGATAAACAGCCAGCAGTATTCGTTTGTGAAAGAACTGGGTTTCAAGAGACGAATTTAGGCGTGTACGATGGTAAATGGAAGGGATCGGGACCAGGTAAGGAAATGATATCTTATAGATACTTAGAGGTTAAAATAATAACACAAAAAGTATGCGCGAAAAAATGTTTGTTTTTTTCGCCTTATGGGTCGTGATCTATCATGATAGCACACTAGGTGACAGCATTCAGCTCTTCACGCATTACTTACCGAGTTAGTCGGTAGAGACCACATCCTTGTCTGTTGTCAAGGCAAAACCGTACCGTTCTGATGATTGCCAGCAAGAATAAGATGATGTCATATACGGTTGTTTACAATGACGGAAACAGATTGGCATTGTATGCCATTGCTGGCTGCCGCGTGGACACTCGATGTTCCCTCTGATTGATTTTAGATGATGGACGGCATCTTTCGTTCTTAGAGCAATACTGTTTTCTGTCTGTCTGAATAAAAATAAAGAAGAAAAAATTCTCCGTGTGAGAACTGATCAGTAACAACTTAACCAATTACCAAAAATCAACTTTATCGCTCCAGTCAATTTTCTTGAGATTCTTTACGTCATCCTGAACGAGCAGTCCTCAGTAAGTTTTCATTAAGTGATTGGTTATTCCAAATAATGCAAACATTTTTGTTTGTCATGTACCCACGTGGAAAGTATTTTAAAAAGTATCAATAATTAAATATCTATTCCACTTCACAATTTTATAATCATTCCGCTTGTTCTTAATAGTCCATAGTAAGTTTTATATGAAGTTAATTAATTGTTTTGTTTATTTTTGTTCTAAACTCAAAAACTATCAGCCTTTGAGGAAAAATTCGTAGCACTGATGGCCATTCTTATTTAGAATGAACAAAGAATAAAACATTTACCTGTGTGAAAAATGGTGTCAAGTAGTCCCTTTGAGCTAGCTACAAACATGTATAACAAACTGAATAAACTGGTCAAGTCAGCCAAAGAGGCTCATATACAATTAGTACATACTCCATAGACCCCATTCATTTGATAACGCTAACGCTAGTTTCTTCCCTGCCCTAAGTCTCTCGACCATCTGGCAAGGCTGCTGAATCACACCAGTCAAACACGTCATAAGCGCCAGCCACGATACTTATAACATCCTGGTCCCTGCCATCAGACATAAGACATGGTTCGAAGTATGAAAGTCGCCGTTGCATCGCATCGTCCCGACCGACCGCGTGTTACGTCTATAAACTATTTGTCTAAGTTATCAGAACAAAGGCAGACAGACCGACGGAAATGAGTGACTTTTTTCGTATGTACATATCATGTAACAATCCAAAAGACATCATATCCCATTTTTCGAAATTTGTCGCGAAGGCGTTGGAAGTAAAAGGTAATTTTTATTGATTCATTGAAATGACTTTTAATCTAATCCTTTTTTTTTTCGCAAGGGTAACCGTAGGTCCTCGTTAACACTTGCGCAGGTAACTTCGGAACGTTTTTTCAAACTAGGCGTCTTTTCTACATTGCCTAAGTGTGAGGTTTTTTAGAGAGACAATGCTTACGTTCATTTATCTGCGACATATCTATTTATTGGAGATATAAAAAGAAATCTCTCTTCTCCAAATTCTAATGAAATGGGAGAATGTCTTACCGCTAAATTTTATTACAACACTAATTAGAGCTGAGACTGTTTTTCATAATAACGGATGGATCGTTTGTATAATTAGCAGGATTTATTTTCCATAGGTTGTACAGTCAATATGTCCAAGCAATGGGAAAGTGTTAGCAGAGGTAAGTCAAGGAAATTTGAGCGATTACGAGTCTTGTGTGAAAGCATCGACCGAAGCATGGCAATTTGGGCAGAACTACCAGCTCCAAGAAGAGGAGAAATTGTCAGACAAATTGGGGATGCTCTCAGAGACAATCTAGTGCCTTTGGGGAAACTTGTGTCAGCAGAAATGGGTAAATACGCATAATTACATATATTTGGAAAATGATGAACGATGTAGAACCAAAAAAGCACACTAAAAAACACTATTGTAATTTAGACGAGCTTATTTCCTTTGATATTTGTCAGTTCCGCGCCTTTCACACCCATTTTTGGAAATAAAGTAACCTCAGGGCGGATTTAGGATTTCGTCTAGGGGGGGGGGGGCTTTGAGTCTGGTAATTTTTCAACTTCAGTGGAACTTCTATAATTTATCCTATTATTGCTCCTTAAACCCATTATGTTCTATCTGGTCTGAATCCTACGGATTTGAAGAATTTTCAACTATTTGTGTGAAATTATCGTCGCATTACCAACAAAAGTGAAAAAACCTGCAGTTTGCCTCGGTTTTTCAGCCATAACTTTTATAAAATAGAAGAATAGAAATTTATGGTTCTCTCAGTTATAAACAAAAAACAAAGAAATTTATAACAAGATCATGTGATACGTGTAAATAACACACATTTTTTAAAGTACATCAAACAAACATTCATAGACACATACAACAACAGCGGTATTAAGCTTACGGTTCACTAGAGCACAGAACTCTTCAATACTATATGGTTCCATATCGCATATATTTATGAATGCTTTTTTTGAATATAGTGAATGCTGAAATGGATTGAAGATGTCGAGGTAAAGCATTGTAAAGTTTCAGTGCAGAGTAATGTGGCATTTTCGTAGAATTTAGCTATGGTAGAAGTATTTCTCTGACTTTTGCGAGTATTGAACTATGGTTGAAGACGTTTTTTCCAAACTTTCTTCATGGCTAAAGATAAATAGTAGAGTGTATAGATATAATTCCCGTAATGTTTAATGCGGTTGACTTA